ATGTAGTGAGAGTTCAGGTATTTGCTAGGATAATAATAACTCTTATCCTCATTTTACAAGTGATGAATGTGAGTCTGTTTTTAAAGAAGCAATCTTAGGACAGAATTTAAACCCAAATAGGTGAAACAATCTCAAGGACAGATGGATGTGGTCCAGTTGATGTTCTGTTAGTTATATGGATAGAAATTGAGAAATAATGGATTTCCATGACTAGAAAATTTAGAAATCTGTCATCTTGTCATTTACTTGCTCTTTTTTGGAAAGATTGGCAACCCTCACAAACAGAAACCAAAATGAAAATTTAATTATGTCCAACAACATGGCATTTTAACTAATCCAGAGAAACTTTTGCTGAGGCATAAGCATTTTACTATGTATTGAAAGGTAGCGGCAAATGCTACCCTGCCATTCAGACAAATGAAAGACAGCCTACCTAAATGGAACCCTTAGTAGTGACCCTTTGCCCCGACAGGGGTTTTGAAGCTATAATTAACAATTTAAATTTACACTAGCAAATTAAGCTTTAAAATTAATTGCCCTCCATTTACGGGTACTAGGAAGTTATGTAAATTTGTCAGTTGTCTCCTGCTTAATTATTTGAAATCACAATCCTTAATTAGGCTATACAACAAACAGTACTAAAAGATTGTTGCATAACACTGGAACTCAATGAATGGCTCTATCCTGACCCCACTTGCTTGAAATAAATAAATACAGGGAAACTTTGTTATAACTTTTCTTTGTAATGTGCAAGAGTTACCCAGTGCCAGAGCTCCCTGGTTAGATAACTTTTGTAAGCTGAGGTACTTACAAGTGGTAAATTATTAGGTGGTACTGAATAAATTCAAGATGGTACTCTTAACGGTTTAGAAGTATCTAATCTCTTCTCAGCTGGTTTGTTTCAACGATCTTAGAAATTTTAGGAAAAATCTTGATCTTTAAAATTTTAAGGTGAAAAATAATTTAATTTGTGATATTAATTTGTAAAATATGTGTGTTGTATTTATATGCATAGATGTCTGTAGATGGTGGGATTATGGGAGATTTTCTTTTTCTTTTTTTTTTTTTTTTTTAAAGATGACCGGTAAAGGGATCTTAACCCTTGACTTGGTGTTGTCAGCACCACGCTCAGCCAGCGAGCCAACCGGCCACCCCTATATGGGATCCGAACCCCAGGGCCTTGGTGTTATCAGCACCGCACTCTCCCGAGTGAGCCACGGGCCGGCCCGAGATTTTCCTTTTTTTCTGTACTCTTAATGATATTTTCCAAATTTTATGCAATGAATGTGTATGGTTTTTATAATCAGAAAAACTTCTGGAACATTAGAAGGGGCAGAGCAAGGTAGTAATCCATGCAGAGGGGCAGTCTGGCTTGGGATGTAGAAGCCCAAGCAGGGTGAGGAGCATGCCCACGGACTGGGGGCAGCCTGGCAGAAGGAGTCAGAGCTCAAATGGATAAGGAAGGTAGTCACGTGTGAGCACCTGGTGGTGGGTTTCAGAAGCCAAGCAGAGTGAAAAGTGCATCATCTACCATACCAAACTGAGAGTGTCCAGTCTTATCTGATCTCAGAAGCTGAGCAGGGTTGGGCCTGGTTAGTATTTGGATGGGAGACTGGGAATACAGGGTCCTGTGGATTTTTAAAAAGAGAGAGAGAGAGAAGGGCATCCATTTGGGGGTAAGGGCTATGTAGGGTCTGAATGGCATTCTTATGCAGAGTGTCAAAGCCTGAGCAGGTTGAAGAAGCTGTCCGCAAAAGGGGTGGTCTAACACCAGGAATCAAAACCTAAGTGAAGTAAGAAGGGCTTCCATGTGTGGGGAGCAGCCCAGAATGGGGAATTCAGAGTCCAAGCAGGGTGAAGAAAGCATCCACATCAGGAGGTTATGTACAGGAGAATTAATCAAATTAGTTAATATATTTAAGATAATGGAAACCAGGTTTCTCACTGTCAGTAGAAGGGGATACAAAGGCAGAAACTAAAATGAACCTTTTGCTATTGCATTAAAACTAGAGGCTTCACTGTGAACTCATGGTTTCTGATATATAGATAGTTATAAAAATATAGATATAAATCAATACATGCATACAGTAACCCTACATTGTGCTGGAGGAAGTATTCAAAAATGGTGGGAAATGGTCAGAAGGACATAAAATCCAGCTTGTAGAGGCTCCCACTGACCAAATCTGGGACAATTTAAGCATCAAAATAAATAAGGAAAGTAATTGCTTATTATTGCATTGAATAAAACGAGAATCCATACAGATATAAATAAATAAATTGAAAGTTTGATAAGGAATAGTATATTCAAAAAGTTTCAAAAACATTTCCACAAAATGCTTATTGATTACAAAGAGATAAAGAAGAATATCACAGAGAAGCTTGACAGGCATCAGTGCTCAGAATGAACATCATCCCTAAGGGACAAATTGAAATTATGTATATACATCTGTGCATGTAAATACAACACGTATATTTTACGAATTAATATAATAGTGACAACACAGCGCCACTTCTGTGATATTCCTGTCAAATATACACAGCCTGAATCAACGCATGGAGGCCGAGATTGAAGGTAACAGTTTTGAAAGTCAAAGAAAGATTAAGGAACTGTTCCAGACTGGGGAAGACTTAAAGATACATAAACTAAATGATACTCATTCATGATGCCAAAATGGAGCCTCTGTAATAATTGGCTAAACTTGAAAGGGGTCTGAGGATTTTATGGCAGTAATGTATCAGTGTTAATTTCTTGGTTTTGACAGTTGTATTGAGGTTATGTAGAAGAATGTACTTGTGTGTAGGAAATATACACTAAAAATATTTGGGAGTGATGGGTCAAGAGGTTGGTGGCTTACTCTCAAATGGTTCAGGAAAAAATTATTTGTATCATACATAATTTTTAAGAAACATAATTGTTTCAAAAATTAGAAAATTATATTAAAAATTTTAAATGCAAGCCTCGGCCAAATTTCAAAGGTAAGTATTATTTTCAACTAACAAGGAAGTTTTAAAGTTAAAAAATCTGTTCTTACCTCCTGCCCTTAATACAATTTTAAAGCATGCTTATTTATAGAAGCATTTAACTACATAGTTTGAAATTTAAATCTGTATTAATCAATTCCTATTAATGTCCCTTAGGGTTGGAGGAGTGAGTATAGGGAAGATTTTATCATGATTACTTTATTTAATGTTTTAAAATTTGTCTTCAAATTCAAGTATTCCAAATAATTTCTTTTAATTTTATTTTACGATCTTTGTTATATAGATGGACCACTGGCCTATCAGAAAACTAAGGTTGCAATAATAATAAACATTTGTAGATTACAAAGCAGTTTCAAAATATTATCTTATTTGATCCTAATAGTCCCATTTTGATCCTAATAGTCACATTCATTCAGCAAAGACAAAAAAATCATTGCCTATCCTAGTATCTGGAAATAGGCATTATTATGATTCTGACTTTATAGAAGAGGGTAGGGACATACTGGCTTACCACTCATAAGTGCAGGAGCCAGGATACCAGCCCCAGTAATGTGACTTGAGCCCTGACTTAAGCCTGCTGCCTCAAACTAAGAGTCCTAACCTGCTGTGATCATGTGATCCCTCGGGCCATTTCTTCAGCACAATGGAAATATTGGACTCTAATCTTCAAGCTCCATTCCAGCTTCAAAATCTTAAAATTCATCCTGTTGTTAATAGTAACAACAACAAAAAACATAAAACAACTGGGAGTAACCTTAAGTGGAAAAGTATATAACTTACACGGAAAAAGTAAAAACTACAAACTTTCATGAGATGTTTTTAATTACTTGAATATACAAACTTGCATATGGGTTAATTTTCCCATTCTCCTTTTTTTCATCTTCAATTTCAGGTCCATTAAAATATAGAATTCAGGTGTGATGCTTTAGAGCCTGGGAGTTTATTCAGGAAGGCTGAGTTATTAATGAATCTGCATCCCCTCTCCTATTTTTTTTGTTTTTGGTTGTCGTTCCAGGGAACTCATTGTTCTTTGTAATGAGGGTAAAGACAGATGGGTTTGGAAGAGACTTTTCCTTGTTAAGTGAAGAACCCCTGCTGCTTTCTATAGCTTGAGGGAGTCTTATGCGAAACTGGCATTTACATGTTTTTTCCTTTGGGGATGTGGCTGCATTATTGTTACTATGAAATTATACTTGATTGGTCTGAATTATGCAGTGTTAGGGGTAATATCTTTGTCTTGAAAGCTAGACCTAACAGCTCATGAGCACTTTTCAAGAGAGAGGAAACTCATAAAGGAGAAGGAAAGACTGGAACAGTGAGTGTTTAGACTATGAGACTGATTGTTTTCAAACAAACCTAATTCCTTATATGCCTGGTAATGAAGACATCTTAATAACAGAGAAAGCGGCCCCATTATTTGTGTGCTTTTGTTAACCAATTTATTTTGTTTAGATCAGTGGGCAGGACACCATCTGTTACTAGAAATTTTCCTTTCATAAATCCTGCTCCCACTAAGAGTCCCTAGTTAAGTAATGTCAGCTGCCCTCTTGTTTAATTTCCTTAATAACTCAATTCAGGGGGATGGAGAGAAAAAGGCAGCTAAGAGGATATTGTAAATTGTACCATGCCCTCAGAGAATTTAGTTTGCTCATCTCCTGGGCAAGAAAATTAGTGGGAGGAGCTTACGCATGTTGGAGAAAAAGGCAGAAGGAGGGGTGGCAAAACTGATGGTGGATGAGGTTGCTTTAAGGAAATTGTTTAGTAGGATTTAAAAAAAATTTTTTTTTCTGAGTTGATAACTGTTGCCCCCAAATCTCTTTTTCTAAGGCATGTTTCAATTATTTAGACACAGGTAGTGATGAGAGTCCTGTTCCATAATAATCTACTTTTAGGACTATGAAATACATTTTACATACACATTGGTATGTATATGTTTACGTGTTTATATAAAGTACAATGAATACATAAATGTTATTACCATAAATATGACACGGAAAGACATTTTTATTCTATCAAAGGTCCATGACTCCAGCTCAAGCTGACTTGGAATTTCTTGAGAATGCCAAAAAGTTGTCCATGTATGGAGTTGATCTTCATAAAGCAAAGGTAATGATAACTTTGGCTTTTATTAATATGCTTGTATATATATTATATGACACAGGTCTTTTATGCATGTATCATACCTGTGTCATATAATTCTTCTTACCAACATTTATCTGGGGTATTTAAAAACATTCAAAAGAGATAGTCGTTCTTGTTAGAGTTTTAAGGATATCAATTGAATCAATCAAGTGTATCAAATGAATTGCTCCTTAGCAATTCCACCATCAGAATCAAGTTTTACATTTAATCCACTGTAAAGGTAAAAAAATGTAGCACCTAGAGAAAAAGAAATTATGTTTTCCTAAAATGCAGTTACATTTGAAAATATAGAGTGGCAGCAAGACATGTTCACAGCCAACATCACCTAGGTTATCAGAATCACCTGGGGTGTTTATTAAACATGCAGATTTCTTATCTCCTCCCAGATTCACAGAATTGCTTTGAAGATGAGGCTCTAGAATCTTTAGATTTAATAAACATTCCAAATGATTCTAATTCATGCTTGAATATGAGAACCATTGGCTTAGGGTAGTGTTACTCAGAGTGTGGTCTCTGAGCAGCATTAAACATCACCTAGGTACTTGTTAGAAATTCACATTTCAGGCTCCATCCCAGGTATTGAATCAGAAGCTCTGGGGGTGGAGTCCAGCAGTTGGTTTAACAAGCTCTCCAGGTGATTCTTTTTTTTTTTTTTAAAAGATGACCGGTAAGGGGATCTCAACCCTTGGCTTGGTGTTGTCAGCACCACGCTCAGCCAGTGAGCAAACCGGCCATCCCTATATAGGATCCGAACCCGCGGCCTTGGTGTTATCAGCACCGCACTCTACCGAGTGAGCCACGGGCCGGCCCTTCCAGGTGATTCTAATGCACACTGAATGCACCACTGGCTTATTTGAGAACCTTTGGTTTAGGGCATTGAAAACTTGAGGTTTAATCCTAGCTCTGCCTAATACAACCTAACAGAATGAATACTTAAGGCAAGTGAGTCCCTTGCCTCCTCTGACCTTCAGCTACTAAAATGGCTGGGGAAGTTGAGGAGAAAGGTTCTGGGGAATGATCTACAGCTCATTCACTTGAACTTAGAAAAGATGCATGATGAGGAGACTCAAAACCATGTCCAATCAAGGAATAGGAATACTTAGCCTACAAAACAGAAAGTTTTGGGAAGATGTAATAATCTGTCTTGATGTATTAAAGGAGTGATGTGTGAAGTAGAGATTTTACTATGGCTCCAATGTAAATCTAGAGATTAAAATGGAAACTATAGAGAAATACACTGTTCAGCTCAGTTTGACACATTGTCTAATAGCTATTCAAAGATGGGATGGGCTACCTTAGTAGCTAGTGAGCCTCCTTATCACTGGAGGTATTCCAGGATAGGCAGAATAATCGTTGGGTACGAATTTAGAAACGGACATTCAAGCACCTGGTGTATGATTGGACTAAAATGACCTTTTAGGGTTCTCCCAACCTGAATATCTGATAGTCTCTTTATTTAAATTCCATCAATTCTAATAACATTGCATGTTAGTGGTTTTTCTTAAGATGTTGCTCTGGATTGTTTTAGGCTGGGTACTGTAACTTCTATGAATCTCTAAAGTAGATAGTAGGAAGACAGAGACAATCTGACACATTTATGGATAAATTAGAAAATAATTGTTTCCTCATACCTGCTTTCTTGCTTAACATCTCCCACTCCTTAGAAAGGACTCATGCCTAAATAGGGTCATGCTTTCACCCCCAAAGTTGGATGTATGTATGTTATGATGAGACAGTAATATGCTTATTCTGTTTTGTAGTTGTGTCAGATAACTTTAATCATGGTCAAGTCAAAATAAGGATGGCAACATTAAGCCTCTTTCCCTTATAGCTCTTGTAGAACATAATCATTTATGAAATAAGTAAATAGAAAACCAAGAAATTGAGAAATTAAAATAAAACTTTTTTTCATAGAAGCATAAATAAATAAATAAATAAATAAATAAATACAGTAGATGGTAGGAAGATTATTATATCAGATCAGGTGTGTTTCCAGAACTGAAATTGTTAGGTTTTGCTTCTCAATTCCTGCTAGAAGCTGGTGTCGATTCAGGAATGGATGAAGGAGTCAGGTGGCATATTCCTTTCCCAAACGTTGTGAAGCAAATTGTTTTCCCAAAGCGTATAATTAAGAGAGAGAAATAGTTGTGCCCACAGGCTTTAAAAACTTAAGTGGGCTTCTTCTGGGAAATTCTCAGTTACATAGTTGAATTAGAGCTATATATAATTTCTACTTTTCTATTACGCTTATACATAATACATGTAGGCACTAATATGTTTCTCTGTACTCATTTTGGGAAAAAGAGTAGTCAAGAAGCATTTAACTCTGGGTTTTGATTATTTAGCTAAATAAGTAGTCATCTGTAAGATTAACTCAGGGTAAATTGACTTTCCTTGAATTACAGACATAGATAATTAATATTATGTATTTAATTTTTTTAAATTCCTTTAATGAAGAGGCATGTAAATATGACTTCACTTTACCTTAATATTCTCTTGGCCTAGCGATAATATTTATAATTTAATAGGCTAAACATCAATTATTATAAAAATCTGAGATTCTCTGATACAGTAATAGAGTCTACTCCTATATTTAACATGATTTCTGGTGGGATTACCACTTTATCATTAAAAAGCAAGAAATATAATTGTGCATGTATATTTGGTAGTATACATAGCCCTAAGTCCTGGCCTCCAGGAAGTCATGTTGCTGATTTAAACATAACAGTCCCATGGATTATGATCATTTTATGCTTTGGAACTGTTTTTGGTTGTTGATATCTTTAGATTATCTAATAATAGTAAACAGTGTGTTTGAACAAATTGCTCAAGACTGAAATGCTAACACTCTTCTTTTTCAGGACTTGGAGGGAGTGGATATCATCCTAGGTGTCTGCTCTAGTGGCCTTCTTGTTTACAAAGATAAGCTGAGAATTAACCGCTTTCCTTGGCCCAAAGTGCTGAAGATTTCTTACAAACGTAGCAGCTTTTTCATCAAGATTCGACCTGGAGAGGTACAGAATTCATGCTTCTTTCCTCCCGAACCAGAGACCTTGTTTAAAACATCTCTTCATTCCTGTTTTTCTTCTAAGAGGTCTCTGTATAGCTCAGTATTGAGGGGCTGATAGTTTTCTAAATTGATCAGTCCTGTGATTCTTCTTCTCTTCCTTACTATTGGTCTTCTGGACATTTCTCTTTCTGTAAGGAAGTATTCCATTGCAAAAAGTGAAATTTGGATTGATAAATTTGTTCCTTGTTTACTCCAGGCAAAGACATGATGGAGAAATATTTTTAAATTGAGTAGCATGAGATTTTAAAATTATTTGTGGGGCACATTACTCATGTTTTGCAATATTAATTCTTACCTTGTATAATTTAAAGTTGTATGCATAGCTTCTAGTGGTTACTGAGAATGTGTTCTAGGGTCAAGTTCTAGATTTTTAATAGAGTTGGATGTTCAACTTTGTACCAGATAACTCAGTTATTAGTTGGTGGTCAAGTTTCAGAATATTTAACTTTAATATTTCAGAAGTTTAACTTTTATGTTGAAGAGCCATCATGGTACAGAAGACAATTAAGTAGGACTTAATTTTTTTTTTTCCTTTTTTTGTCTTTTTTTCGTGACCGGCAACGGATCGCAACCCTCAGTGTCGCGCCCGTACCGGACCGGGACTGGCAACGGGATCGCAACCCTCGGTGTTGCGCCCGCACCTCTCTCAGCCAGTGAGCCGCTGGTCTGTATGTGGGATCCGAACCCTTGGTGGGAGCGCCACTGCGCTCCCAAGCAGCGCACTGTAGCAGTGCGCCACTGGGCCGGCCCTAATTTCTTTTTTTAAAGTTCTAGCTCCTTCTCTACCACTGACTAAGCAAAAGACCCTAGACAAATCTAAGGCTCAGTTTCCTTACCATTCAAGCAGGACACTCCTCTATGACAGTTGACTTGAAAATCAGTTGAGATGACGGTTGTAAAAGCTCTACATAGGAAAGGACCATACTAACATTAGGTGGCTTTTTCTGCGTATATATCACCATCTGCTGGTGAAAACAGCTCGTTATTTCAGTCTGGAAATTCTGGATGTGCAGCCTTAAAAATCTTGTTATAGGGATTATCTTTGAAGCATTTATTCTGTATCATAATTATTTACCTGTGCCTAGCACAGAGCAATCAGTGTCTTCCCTCAAAGTTTCAAATCCAAGAATCATTCAGTCAACAAATATTTAATGAGGGCATTCCCTGTGCCAGGCACAATTCTAGGGGCTAGGAATATAATAGTAAATAAAAAAGTCCTGTCCCTCAACAATCTTACATTTTAATGTGGAAAGGTAGGGAAAAAAAAAAATATATATATATATATGCACACACACAAATATTAATAATTATAAATGTCAACTATATTTTACATATATATATTATATACATATATTGTAACAGTAGGATTTTGAGAAGTGGAGTGTTATGACTACAGAAGATGATTTAGAAGTAGCATGGTATAGTGGAGAGGGTGAGATTCTTGTTCTGCCATTTCATAGCTGTGAGACTGAGCAAATAACTTCTCTTGCCTGTTTCTTTGTGTGTAAAAATATAGATACTATTAATCATAGTGTTATTGGCAATAACAGGCACTCAAAATAAATGTCAGTTTCTTTTCCATCTTACAAAGTATGCTTACAGTAAAAACAAAGAGGCCAGAGGCCAACAGGACAGTGTTTCTAGTAGCCCTGGCGGGATATGTTTTCCTTCGGTCAAAGAGATATCTAAATAAATTAATGATCAATCAAAGGAAAAAAAGAGAAAACGTTTAATAATTAAAGAATCTGGGGAATAAGTTCAAGAGATCTATTGTACGAAATGGTGACTACAGTTAAAATTGAAAGAGTGCTAAGATAGTAGATTTTAAGTGTTCTCACTACAAATAATGATGTGTGTGAGGTGATGCATATGTTAATTAGTTCAATTTAGCCATTCTGCCGTGTGTACGTATTTCCAAACATGTTGTACATGATAAATATGTACAATTTTTATTTGTCAATTTAAAAATTAATTTTTTAAAAAAGACACTAGTTTGCACCAAAATCTTTAGCTTCTATTGCTAATTACTATTGCATAATAATATTCATTGACTGGAGGAATCACCATTCCTTGATCGTTGAGTAGTCTAGAGTTCCAAATGCAGGTAGTGACTAAGGAAAAGCAGTTTGTGGACAATCAAAAGTTGACTTATGTCTCAGAAAAATGTATGGTGTATGTGTGTGTGTTTTCTGAACAAAAATAAGATGCATAAATAATATAAGATGCATCCCCTGGTTTCCTTGCTTTGGAAAAAGCCACTCTCAATGAGCAAGTTTATTTTGATAAGTAAGAAAAAAATTTCAAATGATGTTTTGTGCCCTTAAATTGGTAACATTCTTTTTATTTACAATGGCCTCTTCTGTTGCACCATATTTCTCTGCTACTGTATCACTGTAGTTGAATAATACTTCATGTTACATATTTATTTGTGTTTTTATTAGCAAGAGCAGTATGAAAGTACCATCGGATTCAAACTTCCCAGTTACCGAGCAGCTAAGAAATTATGGAAAGTCTGTGTAGAGCATCACACATTTTTCAGGTATTGTTCTCACTTAAGTGCTTTTCAAGGAGAAATTATTTATGCACGTTTCTATTTTAAGCCTGCTATTGAAATTCCTCTCTTTGTATGACTGGCACTCTTCTATTTAGCTCAGGTGAGATCATCCTAAGCAAGACAAAATAAATCCAGTTCTTCCTTTTTGGGTTGGAAAGCATGCCTCAACATTTCCCAAAACATCTTTCAGTGTATGTTAGTAGGAGGAGAAAAGTGAGGAGTAGGCACGTGTATTTACTAGGGGCTCTGTGATCGCCCTTACTGTAGCTGAAGTCAGTTTTATTAAGGAGAGGTACCTCACTTTCCTCCACATAGAATTTCTCTAAGCAGTGCTTAACTACTTTTTGTGGGGCTTATGTTGGCTCCAATCAACCCCCAAAAGGGAGCAGCACACAGAGCCATCTTTGAAGCCCAATGAATTAGGATAATCAGACAACGGAAGAAAGTTTCATTTCCTCTACTTTTCAAGAGGCCACATTATTCATTTACCAAGCATTTCTGTGTGCTTATCCTTTGTGTAGGCATTGTATTAGGCATTGGGAAGATACCACAAGTAAGAAAATTTCTTTGTTATGGAAAATTTTATACATAGCAACAGTGTAATGAACTCTCCTTGTACTTATCCCCCAGCTTCAATAATTATCACCCCGAGGCCAATCTCATTTCATATGTATCCCCTCCCTTTCCTTCCCCCTACTTCCCAGATTATTTTGAAGCAAATTCCAGGCCTCATGTCATTTCATTATAAATAAGCTTGACTCTTTATGAATGCTGTCTCTCTCTCCTTCCCCCACCTTCTCTGTTTCTCACCCCCACCCTGGTATCTTTTCCTTCTGTTTGTAATTTTGTATCATACTCAGCACTATAGCACAATGGACAGGAAGAAAAGGAAAATAATATTTCAATTCACATTTCAAAATCAAACATGAGAATATATTTTACACCAATTAAGGAATCTTTATTACTGGCATTAACACATTTCTTTATGCTTTCATCATCCTCCTCTTTAAAATCAAACCAAGAAAATAGAGTTTTAAAAAAGGGCAAGGAAGAGTGATTTTGAATGTTTAATAGCTATGGTATACTTTCATCTGCAGCCAATGTATTTACTTGTAGTATGGCATATTTAAATCCATTGCATCAAAATAAGAGAATATATTAAAATGTAATACTCCCTTACATAAAAGTTCCCAAGGTGAAAAAATACTCTTTTTGGTAGTATTTCATATAGCAAATTATGTATTCAACAAACATTTATTGGGTGCCAAATTCATGGTAGGCACTATACTGGAAGTAAAAACACAAGGATGAATAAATCATGGTCTTTATTCTTTACCTTAAAGAATTTGCACTTTCATGGGGAGACCAGCACATAGTTTCAATGTAGTGTAGTAAATGCCGTCACAAAAGAGTGCATGGGTTACTGCATAGAAGAAGATGGAGTTTCCAGCTGAGTTGAAAATATGCCAAATAACCTATTAAATAGGTTACCAAGCATTAATTGAGTTTGGAGTTCATTTGACAAAACTACCATTCTAGTAAAGTAGAAAAAAATCTCTGGTCCTGTTTCCAGCCACTCTTTTAACAGCTGTGTGACATTAATAAAGTAACTTCTTTTTCCAGGTTCAGTTTCTTATATCTATAAAATGGTAAAAGCATTACAGGAATGTAGTGAAAATATTGCAGTGCTATTAAAGCATTCTGATAGCCTTAATGCCCTATCTGTAGAGATATAAGATGATATTATAGGTCCCAACTGAATTATAGTGGCTGTTTTAAGAAAGGACAGAACTAAAATAATGATTGCTTGATTCAACATCTCTTAGTATAACTATAAGGAAACATGAGAATTGCAAAACATTTTTTATTCTTGATTTTGTTTTTAGTTTTACAGTCTTAGAATAATGCGATAATGTATATATGATTATTATGATTTTTTCCCCAGATTGACATCTACAGACACCATTCCCAAAAGCAAATTTCTTGCACTGGGATCCAAATTTCGATACAGTGGCCGTACTCAAGCTCAAACCAGGCAAGCTAGTGCTCTAATTGACAGGCCTGCCCCACACTTTGAGCGTACAGCAAGCAAACGGGCATCCCGGAGCCTTGATGGAGGTTTGTATTGAATTTTAATGGTTTCTTGTGACTCTGATTCATTAGGGAGAGATGAAGGAAGTATAGTTATGTATAAGAGAACCAAATTAAAGAATCTCAGTGGTAAAATGAAAGGGATATTACTAATTGTCTAATTCAGTGGAATCATCTTTAAAGGAGACCTGAGATTCAGAAGAGTAGTGACTAGATCAGGGTTACACTGCTAGATAGAATACCAGTAGAATTATTATTATTATTATTTTTTTTTTTTTGTCCTTTTTTGAGACCAGCTGCACCGCGCTCAGCCAGTGAGCGCCGGCCATCCCTATATAGGATCTGAACCCGTGGCGGGAGCGCTACCGCGCTCCTCGTGCCGCACTCTCCCAAGTGCGCCACGGGCTCGGCCCTAGAATTAGAATTATAAATCTAAATCTATCAGAATCTCTATCACAGAGTGGAAAACTAATTTAGTTTGCTGAACTAAAGCCCTTTTAACCACTTTTAAATAGTTTTTTTTTCTAGTAGGATAGAAAAAAAGGTTCTGCCTCACTACAGCAATCATTTTAAGTTTAGGTCAATTTGTCATGTAGCAATTATAGACAGAAAAAGCAATCCATTATTGGAGTTTCCAAATGTTGTTTAAATAAAATAGGGAAGAAATAAATTTCATGATTATATACACTGACAGAAGTTCTGTCTGAATTTATGTATTATGGCTGGATTTTCTGTTCTAAGTTTAGTCTCAAGCATTTGAGACCATTATGAAATGAATTAATAAGCTACATTTGGTTCCTTATGCCACTATAAAAAAAGGATGGATAATAAATAAAAGTTCAGAAGACAGTAACCAATATAAGGTGTTATTGATTACATTTATTAAGGACTTACCATTGCACAACCCTATGCTATCTACTGTAAAAGCAAGGTATACATTATTATGTGTATATATATTATGGAGGTTAAATATTTGGGTTCTGGAATCACACAGACTTGGTTCCAGTCTCAATCCAGCATTTATGAACTGTGTTCTTAGGCAAGTTACTTAATTTCTCTGTGTCTCAGTTTTCTCATTCATAAAATGAAGATAGTGATAATATCATATTATTTAAAGAGTTTTCATGAGGAATAAATGAAATGATGTATGTATAGTGCTTAGCACATGGTCAGCACAAGTTCCCCCCCAAATGTTAGCTATCATTAAGATATTGTTATTCTGGCTGCAGCATTATTATTTTGTTTTGTATCATCCAGAACTATCCATACTGCTATATTCTGGTTTGTTGATATATGTAGACCTTCTCATGAAGTATGTAGGTCATCCTACAGCAGCTATAGGTACCATTTGGAAATTCTCTAATTCAGCAAGTATTCCTTTCCATGGTATGAGGAAATTTTGCAATAGAATATAAGGAGATTCTCCTTGTAATGTTCCTGTCTGTTTCATAGTTTAGTCATCTCTTGTACTAGGTGCAGGGGATATTATAATATTCATCATAGTGGAAAAAAAACAGGGCATTATGGGAGCATATATCAGAAGCATCTAACTCAGTTTAGAGGAATCAGGAATGGATCAGCCACACATGGAAAAGAGATCACCCAGACAGTAGGACTTTTGTGCTTCCATTCTGTGAGTCATGCTTCTTTTTTTGGTGTTTCTCTACTCTCCTGAGTTTAAAAGGGCTGTTATAAGAATAACAGTACAAGGCATATTGCATGCTTTGTCTGAGTTAATCTTCATGACAACACTATAAATTAGGCTCAGAGATTAAATAACTTTTCTTAAGTTATGACAGCTGGTAATTGGATATTAGGATTGGAATTCAGGTTGCTTTAACTCTAGAACTGATTTTCTTTCAGATACTTACTCATTTATTACTTTGTTCAACAATTTACCTTCTACTTTCTGTGTGCCAGGTATTTTTCTATTTACTGGAGAAACAACTGTGAATACACATACGTGGTTTCTACCTTCATGGAGCTTACATTCAATGGGTGGAAACAGAAAAGAACAAAAGATAATTTTAGATAGTGATAAGTGCTATGAAGAAGATAAAACAGAATAATAGGATAGAGAGTATCTGGGGATGGGGGAGATAGAGGAGCTATTTCAGATTGGGTGGTCCAGTATAAATTTAGAAGTTTCCTCTGAGGAGCTTCATTTGAGCTGAGACTTGAACTATGGAAAGGAACCAGCCATCCCAAAATCTGGGGGAAGAGAGCATTCTGGAAGAGGGAGTTATAAATACCAAGTCCTGAAGGTAGGAGTGAACTTGGCATGTGTCTAGATCAGTACTGTCCCACAGAACTTTCTGTGCTAGTGGAAATCTATTTTGTGATGTCCAGTTCAGTAGCCAATAGCTATATGTGGCCATTCAGAACTTGAAATGTGACTATGTAACTGAGGAATTGAATTCGAATTTAATTTTAATAGTCACATGTGGCTCGTAGCTCCCATATTGGACAGCACAGGTCTAGATCCTAGTAAATGAAGGAGAGAGGAATACAAAGTGAGTGAGGTCAAAGAAGTAAGCAGGGACCAGATTGTGTAGGAGCTTGTAGACCACAGTATGGAGTTTAGATTTTATTTTAATTGCACTGGGAAGCTGTTAGAGGGAGCGATGTAATCTGACTTCCATTTTTATAAGCTCATTCTGACTGCTGGGTGTATACTCCACTGATGTGAGAGTAAAAGCAGAAACAGGATAAAGGCTGTTGCAGGATCCAGGTAAGAGATGATGACAGCTTGGACTTGAGTATTAGCAACAAAGACAGTGAAAAGTGGTCAGGGATACCTTTAGGAGGTAGGGCTGACAGAATTGCTGATAGGAAGGAAAAGAAAATCAAGTTTTATTCCTAGGCTTGATCACTGAGTGGAATGGGAAAGTCGGAGAGGAACAGAGTTGGGGATGCAGAAAATCAAGGAATCAAAACTTCTGTCTTGGATATGTTAAGTTTGAAGGTCTTCATGTCTTTGCCATATTCATATCAGGTATCTCCTTTGTCCAATAAGTCACCTACCTCCAGTTTACCTTAGGTGTGGAGAAATATTTTTTTAATCCTCATTTTTCAGGTGAGAAAACAGGTTGAAAAGTTTGTGACACGTTCAACATCTCACAGAAAGTAAGTTGCAAAGTTAGAACAAAAATCTAGGTCTGTCTCATAGCATATTTCATGTCTTTTCCCATTAAATGGAGTTTCATAGTTATGCCTGATATATTGCTTCTTCCTGATAGTAAAAACAACCAGATTCAAGTGTTAACGAGCTTTGGTACCTTGAACAAGTTAGAAAGGTTTACTTATAGAAATCATATCTTGTCAGCCTCTATTTTTCTAGTTGTAGAAACCTCACAGTTCAAGACTTTAAAAAATCTTGATGTGTCTTGATGTCTCAAAATATTGATTAATACTGACCAGTTAGTATTAAATTATACATTGTGTTCCTAGTGAAAAAAATCTCCAAAAATTTGCCTTCAAAATGCTGTAGCAATGCTTGAGGTTCCCAAATCTAGAAAAGTAATTTGTCAAAGTTAACACAATTTGTTAGTACAAACTTAGGACAATCTACATTTTCCGGTGTCTAGATCAATCCTTTTTATCCTTGGTATGTTCCATGATGCCTCCCTTCTATCTTTATATTTTGAGAATTTTTTAAAGATGCATGATCTTTTGGGGGGGGTGGGGGAGGGGAGACAACTGGCTGAACCACTGACCTTAAGTTCTGGGGTTTTTTGTTGTTGTTTTTGGCAGCTAGCTGGTAAGGAGATCCAAACCTTTGACCTTGGTGTTATCAGCAGCATGCTGTAACCAAGTGAGCTAACCAGCCTGCCCTAAGATGCATGATCTTAACTGGTCCTGGTAATTACCACATTATTTGTTACACTGTAAGTATTTGATAAATATTAAAAATGAGGTGAGGGCTGGCTGGTTAGCTCAGTTGGTTAGAATGAGGTGTTACAACACCAAAGTCAAGGGTTTGAATCCCCATACCAGCCAGCTGCCAGAAAAGAAGAGAAAGAAAAAAAAAGATGATTGTTTTTCCTATTTAGTTGAATGTGCACAGAATTTTATGTCTCAGACTTCTTTTTTCTTTCTTTCTTTTTTTTTTTGTTGCTATGACATTTTTTAAAATTTATTTTTAATTGTCCATATTTGTGGGGTACAGTGTGTCATTTCAATACATGAATATATTGTACAATGATTCACTTAGGGTAGATAGCGTATTCATTATCTAAATAAACATTCAAGATTATTATATAATATATTATTATCTATAGTCAGCCTAGAACACCAGAACTTATTCTTCCTATCTACCTGTAACTTTGTACTCATTAAAAAATATGGAATGCCTCATGAGTTTGCGTGTCATCCTTGCACAGGAGCCATGCTAATCTTCTCTGTATCATTCCAATTTTAGTATATGTGCTGCCGAAACAAGCACTGTCCCAGACTTCCTATGTCACATTTTAAATGCATTAAAAAGTTCCTCATACAACTGTCATCCTTCCCTTTAACTTCCTCTACTTAGGAGAAGAGTAGATTTAAAGAAAAATTTTTTCCCCAGATCTTTACTCCAATCCTGATGTTTAATGAAATTGAGTATCTTTTCATAGTTTATATGCAATTTGCATATTATCGTTTCTGAAGTCCTTGTTCAGATCTTTTGCTTGTGTTTCTGTCAGGTTATCTGTCTTACTAATTTGTTGGAGTTTTTTAAAAATTACATTCTGGATATGAATCTTTTGTCATATACATATGTTGCAAATATATTCTCCCACTATGTGGCATTCTTTTTCCTTCTGTTAATGATGTCTTTTGATGTCCAGAAGTTCTAACGTTTAAGTTAGTGCAATTTATTAATTTTTTCCTTTATCATGAGGAATTTTTGTGTCCTGTTTAAGAAATCTTTCCCTACCCATGGTCATGAGGATATTCTTCAGTGTTTTCTTCTAAAATCCTTATTGTTTGCCTTTCATATTTATATTAATAGTCCATCTGGAATTTATTTTTATGTGGGAAATATT